TTAAACTGAATACATTAATTAAAATGAATAATTTTGTGGCTCATTAGTTGCAATTTATGTTGTAAGTTCATGAGAATTTGTGACATGAGTTTGTGAGAAAATTGCTTTAATTTAGTAAGAATTTTTTAATGCTGCACTTATTAATTGACACGTAGAACTAGATAATGATGAGCGGATGGATATTAAGAGATTCTACGAGAAGTCTGCGTTGGGCGGAGATTGTGGGTTATAACTTTCTCTATCTTCCTTTGTCTTCAAGCTTACTTATTGACTGACTTCGATGATTTTACATTTATAAGATGGCACTTAAAGCTTTCTCTATCACTGGCTACCGCTTCCCAATTTCCAATACCAAATGCAATACTATCTCAATTTACTCAACCATAAATTGAAAATTTCTAGCAATTTTTAAAAATAATTTAAATAGCTTTTAAAAAGTTCGCAAAATAAAATAATTTTTCTAGAATTTCACAATCCTTTAAACTGTTGCTGAGTTACAAATAGTCAAGATAACAAGATTTCTAATTGAAATTGACACAAGCTTGGGTATTAAAGATTTTCGGTCGAAAGTAACTTTTAAGATTTTATTATATTGGCATTTGACTTTATTTTTAATGAATTCCTATGAATAATTTTATAATGTCCCGTGTGATTCAATTAGCCTTTTCTAAGAACTGAAATTCCATTGAGAATAAGAAAATTTCCAGTGAAGAATAAATATTAAATTTACTTAAGGAATCAAAAAATAAAAAAGTTTTTTTTAAGCAAGCTAAAAGCAAGTCCAGGCGCGTAGCCAAAGCAGAAGATTTTAGGGGCAATTTTGTTGATGAGGGACCCCCCCGCCCCTCATTTCGAAATCCCTAAACAAGACTGAGTTCATAAAGACTGTTCTGGTTCCTAGGGTCAGTGCTTCCAGGATGGATCTACAGTCTTGTACAATGATCAGTACAACAATTACTGATTAACTCGGCAGAAAAGGTCATTCCTGCAAATAGAGATAGAATAGAGAAAGAAAAGATTAAGTAAGGTTTTTATGCCATCTGAAATAGTTTAGATACTTTTCACATAGCTTTTCCTTGCTTTTTCAAGTAATAAATAAATAATAATAATAATAATAAATAATGATACTTACCCTAATAGGCAAAGAGCATGCTCACAAATTTGAGCACACGCAAGAGCATACTCAATTATAGAAATTTATGTGCTCAAATGAACATACTCTCATGAGTACATAATGAGTACAAAAACGTAGTATACTCAGTTGAGTACATTCATTGAGTACGCTCTCTTACATACTCTAAGTACATCAACATGATACAAAAAATTTTCTTTATGTGCTCTCTTGAGTATACTTATTGAGTATGTCCTCTCTCACATTGTGAGTATGACAAATGTGAGTGTAATTTCAAAGACAGTATACTCTCGTCAGTATACTCTTCAAGTGTACTCAAGAGCATATTCAGAGCATATCTTTCTGATAATTCACATTTAAATACATTATGCTCATCTGAGTACACTTTCTGAGTGCACTCTCAAATGTACTCTGAGCACGTCTTTGTAATAAGTTTATGTAAGAAACATTATGCTCATCTGAGTACACTTTCTGAGTGCACTCTCAAATGTACTCTGAGCACGTCTTTGTAATAAGTTTATGTAAGAAACATTATGCTCATCTGAGTACACTTTCTGAGTGCTTTCTCAAATGTACTCTGAGCACGTCTTTGTAATAAGTTTATGTAAGAAACATTATGCTCATCTGAGTACACTTTCTGAGTGCACTCTCAAATGTACTCTGAGCACGTCTTTGTAATAAGTTTATGTAAGAAACATTATGCTCATCTGAGTACACTTTCTGAGTGCTTTCTCAAATGTACTCTGAGCACGTCTTTGTAATAAGTTTATGTAAGAAACATTATGCTCATCTGAGTACACTTTCTGAGTGCACTCTCAAATGTACTCTGAGCACGTCTTTGTAATAAGTTTATGTAAGAAACATTATGCTCATCTGAGTACACTTTCTGAGTGCACTCTCAATTGTACTCTGATCACGTCTTTGTAATAAGTTTATGTAAGAAACATTATGCTCATCTGAGTACACTTTCTGAGTGCACTCTCAAATGTACTCTGAGCACGTCTTTGTAATAAGATTATGTAAGAAACATTATGCTCATCTGAGTACACTTTCTGAGTGCACTCTCAAATGTACTCTGAGCACGTCTTTGTAATAAGTTTATGTAATAAAATTATGCTCATCTGAGTACACTTTCTGAGTGCACTCTCAAATGTACTCTGATCACGTCTTTGTAATAAGTTTATGTAAGAAACATTATGCTCCTCTGAGTACACTTTCTTAGTGCACTCTCAAATATACTCTAAGCACGTCTTTTTTACATGTCACATCCAATTGGATTATACTTAAATTCTCACTCTTAACAAATATTTACTTACAAGAATCTCTAGGTTTAATTTCAAAAAAAAAGTTTATAAATATCAGTTTGAAATCGTTTGTATGCTTCAGCACTGTATTTTTGTATTGGAAAAAAAATTGTCGAAAAATGAAATTTTTGCAATACTTCCTTCCGATGCAGTTTATGACCAAAACTTTGATTGAAACTGATGAGAATCATGATTTAAGACCTTTTGACATCTAAAAATTTTTACTTGGATGCTTCAGTTCCTTTAAATTTGACTTTTTCAATTTCGTTTGTGGAGTACTTGGAAATTTCATCACAGTAAACATTTTTGGGTTTTCACGTGTGAATTTATTGGTTTTGTTCAGATTAAAAAATCAGTTTTTTGAATTTTGTGAGGATATGGAACAAGGTAGCTTAAAATGGTCAGAGATGAAAAGTTTTATGCCTGGAATTTCACATCTTTTGCAAAACACAGATTTCAAATTGATTGCGACATTGCTGAGAAAATCGCAAAATACGCTTTCTGTAAGCAAACAAGCCAGCAAGTTAATCAGCAAGAAACGAGACATCGTAGAGACTTCTAGTTTTTTAAATTTGATTCGTGCTGCTCTATAGAAGAGCTGCATTGTTTTTAGGCAAGGTAGAAACAGCCGTTGCTTCAGAAAAAGCAAAAAACTTTCCTTTCTTACGAATTTTTCAAAACAAAAGTTGACTGTGATTTTTATAAAATTAAACTTTTGATGAAAAAAAAAAATTTAAAAATCTTTCAAAGAATGTTCGTTAAGCTTTTAACCTTCAAACATATGCTGAGCGAAGCTCAGCTGACGCGCTAGCTTCATACTTGCAAATTTATGCTGAGCGAAGCTCAGCTGATTCGCTAGCTTTATGCCTTTAAACTTATGGATAACTTGGGTTTCTACCCGATACACTAGTTCTTAGCAATTTTTGCTTTATTTTTGCTCCTTAGAATCCAAAATGCCATCGGTTTCACTTTAAGAAACAGTCAATTAACCTCTATGCCAAATTACAACTTATAATCTCAAAAAAGTTCAAAGTTATAGCTAAAATAAATTATACATAGGTTTCCAACCCTTAGAATCCAAAATGGCGTCGGTTATATATTCAGGTTATATACCACTTAACCTACATGCCAAATTTCAGATTAAAAGTTTAAAAGATACAAAAGTTATGGCAAAAAAATAATTTGGTATGAAAAATGTATGGAAAAAAGTGAATAACTCCGTGAAAAGCTCGAAAAACGCGTGGAAAAATATGAAAATGGAAAAATTTATCATAAAACATCATGATCTATCAAAAAAGTGTAAAAAGAATGAAAAAAAAGTTACTCACGGTGAGGCCTGAACCCGTGACCAATGAGTTGTGAGAAAATTCACCTTTTTAAGGGCTACGTAAAAATACGTATGTAAAACGTAAGGTAAAATTTCAGAAAAAGTTAATTTAATTAACCTTCCTTTCAGACGGACGGACAAAACGCAAGCAATAGCGTCATTTAAATTTTAAAATTTAAAATCAAAGTTAAATGTGTTATTTGCCAAAAATTTTACTTAAGATAACACAACTCAGTGGAGTAGAGGTAGCAACGCAGAATTTATCTAAGAACACAGCGGTCAGAAGTTCGAATCCCGGTAAGATTTATAAAATTTTCATTAATCATTTCTTCTTTCTTTCTTTCTTTCATAGCTTTGAAAATTAAACAGCATAATAAAAAAAGTACACATTAATTATGTAAAATAAAAGAAAAAAAAAGTTTCAAAAAATAATAATTTTTATTTATTACGTCCTTTAAAGTACACTCAAAGTATACTCTTTTGAGTACATCAATAGTCAGATTAAGATGTACTTTTATGAGTATATTAAAAGTATGTCAAACTAAGTATGCTCATTTGAGCATATGTTTTATGTGCTTAATTGAGCATAAAGTGTGTCACATGTGACATGACACATAAAAAAATGTTTTATTTCAAGAGTGTGCTCAAAGTATAACTGAGTGAGTATGCTCTGGTGAGTACACTTTTAGGCGTAAAGTAGTGGCACAAACTTTTGTATGAAAGAGCATACTTTTTAGAGTACACTCAGCAAAAATTAGAGTGTGCTCTTTCTGTGCTCTTTGCCAATTAGGGTTACTTGTGAAAAAAGTAAGATAAACACACCAGACTAATGACTGAATGACTCTGAAGCTGATTCGTAACAAAAATAACAGAATCATTAGATTTAGCAATGCTTATATCAAGGAAAACACCAATTAATTCTTAAATTTCTTGCTGGTCATCGAATAACCACCGTCTGATTGAAAGAACTTGACCTACAATAATAATTATTTTATAAAACAATGAACCTTTAAGAACTTAATCAAATTAAGTGTAAAAATGAACAACTTGATTAGTTACACATAAGCGATGTAAATAAATAATCTTGGTGCTGTCAATTTTCTAAGCTAAAGTCCAACCCAAGCTTTAAATTCTGACGTAATTTTTAAACGTGAATGTTCGACCTTGTATAAATAATGCAAACATTTCTGTAATTAAATTTAGTTTTATTTTAAATCTTCATCAATCAACAACTGAAATGGTTGGAATCGAAGTTTTAATACTGTTCGGTGTTGTTACTTTAGTGACTTATGTCTTAACATTTTATTGGAAACGTCGTCGACTTTACGTATTAACAAAGAATCTTCCAGGACATGATGGATTATCATTTATTGATTCTGTTAAGTTTGTCGCTCAAATCTCGAGAAAGGAATACATTTCAAAGTTGCTGAATTTCATCAAGGATGAAGCACCATTTACCAAAATTTGGCTGTTTAATCATCTCTTTATAATATCTAAAGATGCAAAATTTATCAACAAAATATTTTACTCACCAGAAATGTACAACAAGCCATCATTATTGTATAGAATTTTTTCCAAAAATCACGCGCTTCCAGCACTAAATGGAAATGACCACAAAAGACACAGAAAAATTATCAACAAAGCTTTTACAACGAAAATGCTGCAGCAATTTACAGAAACTTTTGATGAGAAGTCGAAGAAGATTTTATCAAAAATCGATGAAAATGTTGATTGCGAGGAATTTGAGCTGATGGATTATGTTGGAGTTTATTCACTTGAATCATTTGGAAAAATTAATCTGAGTTATGAAACTGAATATTTTCACAGTGAACTTTATGATTCTTTCTGCAAGTAAGTTGAATGATCAATGTTGATAGCGCGAATTGCTAGGTTAGATTAAATCTAAACTAAGATTTTTTAATGCTTGAACAGTTCCGAATCATTTCTTGAAATCTTGATTAATAATTGTGTCAAAATGTCATTGTGCGAATCCTTGTCATATCGATAACATTACTTAATTATGATTGAGAGGTCGGTCTCTGGTTGGAATCGAACCCACGTTCTCACAAAAGAGGATTTTACATATCTGGTCTAATGTCTAACCACTCGAACCACAGAGGTCTAAATCTCGAACTTGCAGGTTCACCTTTTTAAGGCTCGATTCCACAGATTCAAGTTTGCTCCAGCAACACAACCAGTTTCTACGGCTAGTTCAAGCTAGTTTTCGGGGTACAGCAACCTATTAAGTTTTTTTCATGAAATCGTAATTTTTTTGAAGGGTGAGGGGAGGAGGAGGTCCTCAAAAAGTCCTAGCCAGAGATGCGATCTGTCACAGATACTGTCTATCAACAGGCAATATCTGTGACAGATCTGTCACTTGTACCTGTGACAGGCCATCTGTCTCACAACTCTGGGTGGGTTTCTCGGTATGCACCTACATCTACACTTACACCTAAACCTGCACTTGGTGTATGTACTAGTGTATACACTAGTGTATCCCTTTGGGTAGTCGTATGTGTAAGTGTAGATGTAGGTGCATACCGAGAAACCCACCCCTGGCTCTAGCAAGTTAAGAAAATTCTCAAAAATTCGTTTCTAACTCCCTTCCTCCTTTGCATACGCCCCTGGACAACTAAATTTAAGCTCTAGTTAATTAATTTTCCTTACACTTCAAAGGTACATGGAGTCAAGTATGAATTTCATGCCGTATCAAGTAATTGGACTTAGCCATAAATTTCTAGACTTTATAAACATGGGAGGAGAACTTGGAAAGATTTTGAGATCTTTTCGGAAATTCATGGATGAAGTTATCAAGTCAAATAAGAAGTATGAAAGTGGATCTGAAAATTCTCTTATAAATTTGATGCTAGATCCAAAATTTGAGTTTACAAAAGAAGAGATTGATGATGAACTGACTATGACTACTATAGCGGTAAGTCCTTTATAGTTTTGGTCCTGACTTTAAATAAATTATTTTAAATAATATTAGAGCTTCGACACCACATCAAGAACCATATCAGCAACCTTAATGATGATCGGAATCCATCAAGATGTGCAACAAAAAGTCATGACAGAAATCAATGAAGTCTGCGACAGTCAGACTCAGTCTGATTTCTCATTAGATTTTCTACAAAAGTTTACGTACCTAGAATCAGTTATCAAAGAAACAACGAGGCTTTTCCCAGAAGGTCCATTTATAGCACGAGAACCTTCAGACGATGTTGACATTAATGGTTATTTGATTCCGAAAGGTACTGTTATATTGATCTCGATTTTTGGTATGCACAGAGATGAGAAATATTGGGGAAGTTATGCTCATGAGTTTAAGCCAGAGAGGTTTCTACACGAACTTGAATATCCATTTGCTTTTGCTCCGTTTTCAGGTGTGTATGAATTTTTTTAAAAATTTGATAACTGTACAAACTTATATAACTACTTTAATAAAGGTGGAAAACGGATGTGCATAGGTAAGGTTCCTTAATATTTAAATAGAATTAATCAGAATTTAAGCTTTATGTCTCTTAGGCTATCGATATGCAATGATTTCAATGAAAATTTTCTTAATCAATTTTCTTCGAAGTTACAAGGTTGATTGCGGAACCAAATTCGAAGAAATAGAGACTGAAGTTTCCTTGGCTCTAAGTTTTATTAATGGATACAAAGTCAGCATACAAAGGAGATGAGACTTTGTGATTAGACCTTACTCTGAATGGTACAAGTCTGTTGATCGACTAGAAATCAGGGACTAAGCTGGCTAAATCAAAGCCAATACCATGCCTGGCCAAGATTTTTATTCGATTAACCGACTTGTGCTTTTCGGATACCATTAATTTAATAAAGTTGTAAGGCATTTTAACTTGATTTATTAATTAAATACTTTAAAACCACTTAAATTCCATCAAACTAATTTAATTTGCAGGAGAGATTTTACACAGAATTTTCATTAATTGAAAAGTTATTATTCTACATAGAAAGTAAGTATAATAAATCTTCATTCTTAAATCGCGTCGAGATATATTCACACATAAAGAATCAACAATAAGCCCTCGACAAGCTCAGAAAGAGCAGTAAAAAGTTTTCTTCTTCCTAGTCTTTTCTTTATCCGAAAATTTAATGTTTTTCTTCATTTTCTTTTGTGATACGAAGAGAATGTGATAAAACTATTATATTGTTCTCACTTTCCTATTCTATTTGCCTCTTTTTGTTTTCATGCCGAACGAAAAAAATCAGATACGATGACTAAGAATCCTTTCAGTCTTAAAAACTTTCCTTTTTGTTGCTGTAAAAAATATTTCAAAATGTCCTTAAGATTTGTTTGAAGGATTTAAGCGCACTTATGTAAGATTTGTCAGTATTTCAGTAATTAAGTGAATCAGGAGCGTAGCCAGGAGGGTCTTGATCCCTTAAAGTTTTGAAATGAATCGAGAGCAAGGCTCAGAATTTTTTAGGGGGGGGGGGGGGGGTCCAGACTCTCCTAGCTACGCTTTTGAAGTGGATGCTTAATAGTTAATTGATAAGTGTAGAGTAGGAGCTTAGTTAAATCTAGGGTATCAAGGCATATGTTGGTGACTTTGACAGTAAAAAGTCGGATTCAACAAATATACAAACTGCAACTAGTAAACGATTAGTGAACTTAATTCAAAATCAAATCTACCAAATTCAACTTATTTTTTTAAAATTTGTAAGGATAAAGGTTCAACTCCCATCAGATTGATCTCTCAATTATTACTTAAATAGCTGAAGCTGTTACTAATCGAGGAGTTCAACCAGCCAGTCAAAATGCATTCCTAATCTGCCTTTTCCATTCAAAACTGTTTTGAAAAGGAAAAGAAAAGAAACAGGAAAGTTAATAAAGTTTTCTATGAAAATATAATATATATATTCCCATTCCATTCACTCTCCGGGTGTGTCCAACTTTATATTTATTTTATAATCCTGATTCGAAAGTTTTCTTCACAAGATTTTTCTATTGTTTGGGAGTGAATAAATGAAAAAAGAGAAGTAAAAAAGCTTGTGTCACTTTTTTTCAACTTGATACTTTCAAAAGTTGATGTAAAACAATGACTTTGAATTCATTATGCTTTTTAAAAATTTATTAAGAAGTTTTTTGAATACTTTTTGAAGTTAAATGTTTTGTGACTTTTAAATTATTTAAGAGTTGACAGCAGTTTGAAGGAATTAAAGATGTTTAGATGTTTAATCAAATGAGAGGAGGTCCAAAAACATGAAATATTAAAATAAAACCATTAAATTATTTAAAATCCTTCAAATCCTTCAATTCATCAATTCTTTAACAAACCAATTCGAATTTACCATTGATTAATGTGTATTACTTTATTTATTTACTCATTTATATAGTTTCAAATTCTGAAATGTAATTTTTAACATTCAGAACTGATGACACAGCAGAAATCATCACTTTTGTATCTTTTGTTCATTCCTCTGTCAATGCATTGCTATAAAAACTTTCAGAAAATTGTGATTACAATGAGAAAGCGGTTAGGAAACTTGTTATGTCAGTTGTTGATTAGGTTGACTAGGCAATGTGGTTATGTTTATTGGGATTTGGGATTTTTTGAATTGAAGCATGAAGTATGAATTCTGGGCAAGAATCAATTTCTAAGTTCTATCTTAAAGCCCGATAGCTTGGTTGTCTGAGGACTTGATCAGCAATCGAGAGGTTCGAGGTTCGATTCCTGAACTTAAAAGTTCTTTCATTTAGTAGCTCAATCTTAAAATTAAACTGTCAACGAACTCAACTCTAATTCTAGCTCTGCATGAACTGATTCCACCTAGTCAACTTCTAAAAGCTCATAGTCAACCTAGTAACTCTCTGATTAATAATTTTCTGTTCATCAAAATGCATAAAAGTTCTCTTCATTGAAATCAATCATGAGCTGTGAAAACACAAAAAGTTTTTCGTATTGATTTGCACTTCAATAATGTTCTATCGTGAATACCTATAAATTCATAGATAAAGTTTCATCAATATTTTGCAGTATGAAAATCAAACCAGAGATCATAATAAAAGTCATAATGCAAGGTTCATTCAGCTAGAAAATGCTGGTTTTGTGAAATTAAAATTAAATAATCTTCCATGCACTGAAGTAAATGTGTTAGTTGCTGATGCTCATGATTATTTTAGAGTTGAAAGTGCGCATAAATAAGTAAAGGCAATCTATATATGCTTTTTAGATAATCTGTAAATGATAAATGATTGTAGAAAACTTTTTATACAAAGCAAGTAAGAAATTTTGGAATTAAATGGTACTAAAGCGCATTACACAATCAGTAAATTGACAGACTGCCACACTGTTTGACAGAAAAATTAAGACAATGATCAGTGTAGGTATGAAACTGGTTATATGTGCATGACGGATAGCCGAAGAGAGATAAGTACCTTGGTAGCCGAGTGGCATAAATCTCTGATCGAGCCAGAGATTGCCTTCTTTGAGGTCGTGGGTTCGATTCCTATCAAACCCGACAAGGGTGTGGTAATGATGAAATTATCAAAAAAATGATCAAAAAGTAATTCTTCAGTTCCACCCCTTTGGAACCTGACTTGTCCTACATTACAGCTACACATACAGCAGTTGAATGGACATCTACAATCATCTCTAAATATACACGAGCTACATTGAAAATGGCATATGGTTTCAATTCCTTTACTCTTTATATTTAATTTTCCCTCTTCACTTTTCCTGCTTCTCACTCTTTACCATTACATATGTGCGGCTATATTAGTAAGTAATAGTTGTAATAAAAATAAGAATATTGGAATATAGCTTCATAAGAAAAACTCTCTCCCTATTTCCTTCTACATAATCAGTTATCGTTGTACTTATGTAACTTAACATAACAAAAAAAAAAAGGCAAACACAGCAAGTAGACATTTCAATAAGGCTTATGGTTTCTTACAATGGAATGAAAAACGAGATGAAAGACAGAAAGTAGTTGTAAACGATGTAATAAAAGCAATGAATCAGCAACAAATTGCATTCATTTAAGTTTGAATAACTAGTTTCCGTAAGGAATATCCTTTCAATATTGTAGCTCATTTTGATGTCTTGAAATAAATAATGCTGGAAAGTACAGGTTAGGGTTCTATTTGATTATGGTATCGGAAGATTTTGAGAGATTACTAAGTTGCTATTACGTGTAGAGCTTTGGTGGACGACGTTTTTTGTTACACTGCCATAATGGTGGTGAGCTATGACTAGGCTGACCATCTGCTTGGTTTTTGAGAGGACAATCCTTTCTTCTAATTCGTCCAGAAAAGGAATAAAATTGGTAGACACGTGGGATGTCCTCAACTTTTCAAAAAATATCTAGTCACCCTAGCCATGACCAGCATACAGTTCGTGGGATATTCTTAAATTTTCTGGGTCACACTAGTGTTCCGGGTACATGGGTTGGCCAACAATGGTCTCTAGACGTGATCAGGGAGGTTCAGACTTATCCGCAACCTTAGGTCTAACCCATCTTTGGTACCTAACCTTAAAACAACTATCCCTATACTCTAATTTTAGAACCTCTACCCATAAAAACCAAACATTGACAAAACAAAAAATAAGCTTGTATTTCCAAGACTTTATTTGTATGCACAGCCTTTCAACTTTTAACAACGAAGTTTTTAATAAAGATAGTAAGTTTTACAGTCATTTATTAAGTCTGCATTGGTCGCATTGTTTCAAGAAAATTGAATTGTTGTGGACTTTATGGCAGGGGTGAATTTATTTAATAAAACATGAAGACAATCCAACTTTATCTTTGCTGGATACTCTTTGCTCTTGATGAACAATTTAGACTCTTTTTATTCTGGTGTTATTGAGAAAATTATCTTAAAGTTTATTATTTACTGATTTCATTAAGTTTCAAAAATTTTGATTCTTCTACTTTTTTTTGATCTTTCCAAAGTTTAGAATAATTTTTGAGTATTTTCTTTATCTTATGCACAATTTAATTCCTCATTTTCTTGCTCAAAATGATCCAACTCATTGTCCAACTTCCAATTACACAGCTTGAAACTTTTCCTCGAGTCATTTAAAGACTCTCCTAATTTTCTAACAAGATTTCTTTTGTTGCTACCAAATAAGTTATTCTCGAATCATCCATTGTTATACGAAAATTTTACAACTTTTAATTATGTTTCTACAGCTTTAGGCGCTATCCAAACTTCTTTAATTGTCTCTTACAAAATAAAAGGAAACAAAAAAGTAAACGCTGACTTTTGAAACATTTCAAGAATTTTCTCGAACTGTGAGAAGAATGCTTGTGCAGGTGCTTATTAGAAGTTAATTCTGTTGTTAAATACACTCGAAATTTCTAAAGAAAATCCCGAGGAGCAATGGCTGTTGAGTCTTTATGACGCCTCCTTAATAGTGTAATGCATAAACTACTAATTTGTCCAATTGTCTGGCATTAAACGTCATCATCGTTTCACATTACCGACGTAACTTAGATGTGGTATCGATAAGACGACAAAAGAGGTTCAGCCTTTGAAAAAGCCCGAATAGCACAAATCGGTTAATCGAATCTGATTTATGCCAGAGTCACGCCAGCTTGGTATCGGATTTCTATTCATGAACGTCCCAAGAATTCTTGGAAAGAAGCTGTTGACAGAGACAGTATTGCATTTGGTATTGGTAATTGGCAAACGGTAGCTAGCCAGCTTTAGGCACCATCTAAGGGAGGCCATGGATCACAACTGATCTGTACTGCCAGCGAAGATAAAATGCTTTTCATGAGATATTC